AATGTCGCTCATTATGACCTTTTGAAGGGTGTCATCGAGCTGAATCCTTGAACCATTTCTGATTTAATTGCTCACACTTCTTCTCTTCTAACATTTCACTAGTTAATTGTTAACTTGTCAATGCAGTTTATTACTCCGGGGCCTTGATTGCTGTGGTTCCTCCAAATTTTAGACATAACCGCAGTTTTCACAGTTAGAAAATCATTTGTTTTCAATATACACTCTATTTTGTTTAAATTTAGCGTTAATTTTGTTCTTATTTTATAATCTTGAGGCAAAAAAAATTCTTTCCTTGTCACTGATTGCCTGGGAACCCAGCACTCACCGAGAAAAGCACTGGATCGAATTGTCCAAATATTAACAGAATTTCTTACCACAGCCGGTGCAGTGAGTAGCCGTAACACTGATACGTCCTTTTGCCTGACCAAACTTGAGCAGCATGAGGCACCAAGGTGGCAAAAAATAACATTGCTATTTGGACAAAGTCCACTCATTTCTTTGAGAAAAATAACATTGCTATTTGATAAATGAGAAAATGCGCTAAAAATGAGTATCAGTGCTACCCGCAGAAATAGTATCATTATTTGAATGAAAATAAACTCATTCTTTTGTGTGTGTGTACGGAGGTAATGTTAATAATTTTGTCACCGTTGACTGAGTTGATTCATTTAATTTACGGTCAGGTTATAACTATGATGTTATGACTCCGATGTTGTGTTTATAAAAGCTAGAAGAAAGTTTTATCACAGCGACTTGGATCGGTCTATCGTATTTATACACAATTCATCAATAAACGGCGCATCTCCAAAGAATTTTCCTTCTTTCTTCCAGTTAATTATTAATAATATAACATTAAGAGCATTTTTCATATTTTAACCACACACTCAGAAAAGTAATAGGCCATATTGTCCAAATAATGGCATTTTCTGCATGTATAAGTCAATAATGACACTTTCTACAGTTCCAAATAATGATACTCTCTGCATGTATCACTGAAGCGTCCTTTTGCCGCAGCCTAACTGGAACAGGGTGGACCATAGAAGGACAAGAAAAGCATCGCCATTTTTCGTCTCTTTACTAGATCCTTCGCTTTAATCTTTTCTAACATCTTCGACGGTCAAAACATCAATGCAAAGGATCCATTTATACTTCCGACACCGCCTTATCACACAGCAGATTTATTACAAGCGTTCAGGAGGGTAGTCTTCTTGAAAAATAAAACCTCGGAGATGTCGGAATAAAAATCGTTCGTTGGTGTCGCCTGCTGCATTATTTTACGTCAGTGCAACCTCGGTTTCCTGGCACCAGTAGTTCATCGGGAAAAACAAATTTTATCTCAACTGTGGCCAAAAAATTTTAATCAAACCCTCACTTTTTAACTCGACGACAAAAAATGCGTGCTGTCATTCAAGTGGATATGGCAGATGATTCGTAAAGGGCACCAATTCCATCTAAACGTGTTGATTTACTGTCATCTTTTTTGAAATAAATGACGAATAAATAAATAAATGACCACTCACATTGAAAATATTCTTGAAAAGTCATTGTCTACAATGGGCATCTTTAATATCACACTATCACAGTCTATAAATAGTCTCTTTAACAAAACTGATAGGCACAATTTACGGTAAATTCACTATTTAGAATGTTGAATCACGTTGAAATCGTTGCTTATAATGGGTATCTGCAACATATACAGTATGTCAAGAACTGGTCTTTTTTACATAACTTTGTAGAATGGGTTATTTAAATTCACTGACTATTAGCGCTCAATTCAGTATAAGTTTTTATGATAGTCCGTCCTGCATTTACCATGACATCGCATGGATACTTGGCACGACGAACGACTCAATAAACTCGCCTCATCAGCCTGTGGCCCCGCAATAACTTACATAGCAACACATATACTTCTGTGTGCATTTAAACTTATATCCTTAACTTAACTTAAACTTAACTTATATTAAACTTATATCTATATCTATGTGCATTTAAACTTAAGATAAGTTATATCCTGACATGTGAATCAGTGATATTGTGATCGAAATAACTGTCAAAAAGCGTGCCAGTTAGTTATCTTTCCATCAAAGTTAGTCAAGAAAATGCTATAGTTATTCTAGATATGAGCGATCTTGAAAGTGTATTTTTTAACAGATAATAAAGTGTACGCATCATTTCATTTAAAATGTTCGAGGTGTGTTCTTGAGTAAATTAGTCCTGGAAATATTTAAAAAAAGAGGAACCTCAGCGTACAAATATTATCGTAAGCCTCGCTCTTTCAATCAACATCTGTGTTTTGGTCTCGTTTTCACCGACTGATCGTTAATTTGTACGGCAGAACTACGAGCCATGACTGTACCAAGCGGCTTCTCCCAAATTGATTCTAGGAAAACAACTTTGTTCACCAGCGCGCCATTGATAACTTGAATGGAACAACATCGAGGTATTCATCAAGCCCAACAAGCTAGCCTAAAGAACTGGGATACAATCTACCTTTGGAAATTGAAATGAAGCAATATAACGGCTTACCGTTGTCCGAAGAATAGCGGCCTGCGAAATACCAACCATTGTTTATTAAAAGGAACGTTCCTGATAATTAAAAAGGATAGCTACGCCTAACTTTTCAGCTCAATTCACTGTCTCCACTGCCGTTCACAAAACCGACATTGAATTAAATTCTGACTGTCTACTGAAAAAGAGACAAAAAGGACGCAAGTTTTAGACTTTAGTGCAGACTGCTTACGTTTATCTGTTTCATGCGTCTCTTGAATTATCAATATAAGTAAATTGCAATCTCATCCTGGTAACTTTTGCTTCCCTATGACATTTTCTGTGAATTTCCATTTTTCATTTTATGTGAATTTCCATTTTATCGGTACTGCGAGGTTAAAAAACTCTGTACAGATGAAATTAAATTTTGACGTATAAATTTAGGGATGTAATTCTATCTTGAATCAGAAACAATCCAAATATAAGAATAATATGTACTCTCAGGCTTCCTGATATGAACGCACTTGTGTTGAGCGCTGGTGTATGGATTTTTGTCTACTCTAGTATTGGTGAGGAGTTGCTAGGTGATTGATGGTTGGAACATTAATGGTAAATGAAGTGTTGCCGGGTAATGGTTCCATCACAAAACAAGCGTTGCTAAACAATGGTTATCAGAGTTAAGCATTATTTATTTGCGTAAAGTTTCATGCTCACTGACACAGAATGTTTGTCAATTTGTATCTCGTGGATATTTTTCTTTAGATATTATATTTTCTCATTTTAACTATAGCGAGTGCAGAAATTTGATGGCAAAATTTTTCTGTTTGCGAAAATAATTTCATGAGTAAAATAGTGTTTGAATACACTGTATTCATCACCCTTAATTGACATACATGAGTTTCTTTTGTGGAAGCTATTCCCGTCAATTTTCCGGCTTATTTTCTACATATATGACTTTTTTTTATTTCGAAATACGTTACATTTAGCACCGAAAAATGAATCGCTTACTTTAATTAAGTTCACAACTACAACTTGCTAACATCCAAATTTATTCAAATCGCTTTTCAATCAAAATTTTAGTCATATAATCTCTACGTGAAAAAAGTTCTATCGTTCACAAGCGTTGAATTAATTAATAAATGTGAATAATAAATCGAAGCTATTCGATCGCGAAAAATGTTAGAGTTAATAATGAGACGTGAACATAATTATTTGATTACCAAATTTTCGGAACAGAAACAGACAATAAATCAATAATTATTATTTTTAGCAATGAAATTTGTACCAGAGAAGTCTGTGGACGCTTCACCTAGCAATTAGCGTGATGTTTTATTTGTCTTTCAAATTTTACGTGAACATCCGTGCTTTCCTTTGCTATGAAGTAATATATTTTTATTCAAAATTAGATAAAAAGTATCAGACGTTCGGGGAAAATAATCGAAATCTAACATTTTACTAGGCTTTAAAGTTATAAAGCGTTATTATATTATTTTAAAGTAAAACGCTGTAAGTGTCGTACGCAAAAGACTCAACTCCAGGCAAGGGTTTCCAGTATCGTTGAATTGTTCGGTAAACTTGTTCTCACGTCCGTCAAGTTAAGAATTTTCGCTCTAATTTTCTTGTTTTAACTGAGATATTCTCTCTAATTATCCTATGTTAACTGAGATATTCTCTATAATTTTCTTATACCCACTGAGATATTCTCTCTCATTTTTCTACATCGATCGAGATATTCTCCCTAATTTTCCTTTATCAACTTAAATATTCTCTGTAATTTTCCTCTATCAATCGAAATATTCCCTCCAATTTTCCTATATCAGTCGAGATATTCTCTCTCATTTTCATATTTCAACCGATATATTCTCTCTAATTTTCATATATCAACTGAGATATTCTCTCTAATTCCCCTATATTAACCGAGATATTCTCTCTAATTTTCCTATATCAACCGAGATATTCTCCCTAATTTCCCTATATTAACTGAGATATTCTCTCTAATTTTCATATATTAACTGAGATATTCTCTCTAATTTTCCTATATCAACCGAAATATTCCCTCGAATTTTCCTATATCAACCGAGATATTCTCTCTAATTTTCCTATATTAACTGAGATTTTCTCTCTAATTTTCCTATACCAACTGAGATATTCGAATTTCTCTATATTAACCGTGATGTTCCCTCTAATTTTCCTATATTAACTGAGATATTCTCTCTAATTTTCATAAATTAACTGAGATATTCTCTCTAATTTTCCAATATTAACTGAGGTATTCTCTCTAATTTCCCTATATTGACTGAGATATTCTCTCTAATTTTCCTATATTAACTGAGATACTCTCTCTAATTTTCATATATTAACTGAGATATTCTCTCTAATTTTCATATATTAACCGAGATATTCTCTCTAATTTTCATATATTAACTGAGATATTCTCTCTAATTTCCCTATATTGACTGAGATATTCTCTCTAATTTCCCTATATTGACTGAGATATTCTCTCTAATTTCCACTGGTCATCTACTTCATCGACGCCTCTAAGTGAGTCGAGTGATAACTTGTGGACTTCGAAAATTAATTGATAATAATAATATATGATATAATATATTATTATTATAGATTAATAATGATAAAATATATTGATAATTTTTAAATAATAACTACCCTTATGAATAATTTCTGATCTGTATTTTCACTGTGCATGAATTAGAATACCATGCAAAATCGAATCAAACTATTGCAAATAAAAGTTTGGAAGTGTGATAAAGCTGATGAATATTGGAGTGTTAATCTCATGGCAGGAAGTCACCGTTTGTTGTTATTAATTACGCTTTTGAGAGACGAGCTTTCTCATTTTCAAATCCACGAATATCATGAATTTATTTAAGAATGATTCAGTGGTGTTTTCTGTAATAATTTTCTGGTTAAATTTTATACGTGATGCATTAATTTAGATATTATTCCCTTTTATCACTTAATTAATCTCACACAAAAATTTGATTTAGGAAAAAGCAATTGAAGAAAATTTTTACCGATGGTAGCAGAATAATTTAAGTGCTCAAAAGACTTATCTTGAATGTCATTTCTTAAATATGAAACACAAAATACAAGGGAATTAAAAATTGTTTACTACTTCATTAAATATTGATAAAGTATGCAAGCAATTTCTGATGTTTTGAACGTTTACTTCATTCCATGTGCCCAGTTGCCCTGTTCACCTGTTGATCAGGATAAACATTGTCCCGCTGTTATATGCATTAGTACTTTTTATCTGCTCTATTTCTCTCCATCCTCTGCTAATGACGATTACCAAGACATATTTTTCATTCACAATTTTATTATTTATTATTATATTATTTTATTATTGACATGTTGTTCATTACCTTTCTCTATCTATAAACTCGCCTTTATTTATCGAACGACGCAGTAAATACATTTGCGTTGTGTTTAATATACTACGGGTTAGATCACCTAATTTACTTAATAAAGTTTTAAGAAATATATTAGCAAAAATTAAGAAGCGATGAAGCATATAAAAATGTTAATTTGATCAGTTATATGACCAGTCCAGTATTGTTGACCATTAGAAGCAAGTCTTCGTAAACTTTTATTTCGTTTAACTATGAAAATATTGTGACTTGACGAATTATTAAAAGTATAATTAAACGTGGATGTAGAAGTAGAATTAGCGAAAACGAAGTGAAATTTTACCGAAAATTGATTACATAAAATCGCTTGAAATAGACGGGCTAAGTAGAATTGATAAAACATATGTATGCCAAATTACTTATTCTTTCCGTTTGAGATTGAATGAACAGGCGATGGAAGATACAGAGCCTTTCAGTTAAATTTTATTTGGAGTTATTTTTTTTTATCAAATTTCGCCATTATCAAAATTTACATTTCATCTCTGTTCTTTAGCATTGGCTTCAAATGTTATTATTTAAGCAAGAAATAAACGGATAAGTTAACTTTTAATTGAGTCCAGAGTGTGACTCAGCAGATTTAAACATTTATTCCTTGCAATACAAAGCATAAGGGATATCATGCATGGCAGTTGTATGAGGATCAATCATCATCTCTATCTAAAACATTTTTTTGCCAGAAAATTTTGAATGAAAATCTACCTTGCAATATTTTCTACTTTCTTAAACTCCACACCCGCTAAAGAAAACAGCACGAAAACCATTTCACGATTAAGATCGCAAATCTGGGTTTCCCAACTCAATTTAAATACTAAAAATTTCAAATGAAGTTCTAAATCCCATGTGTTTTCTTAAATCAAACACACAGAGAACTTCATACAGGAGCTCTTGTTTGAGGCGGTGTTTGAGCATTCTATTTATTCCCATATTTAACAGACAAAAACGGTCAATCTACAGCCTGGATACCATGACGAGCTGATCGTCTATATCGTTGGTTCAAACAATTTATTTAGAATAGATAATTTGCTCACATGAAAGTTTCAATTTTTTTTTAATTTCACATGGTCTAATTACCGTAATCAGCTTTTTCTGACTCGGCTGCCACCCCAAAGTATACAGATTGCGAGCATAGAATATTAGAATGACCATGGAAATTAAGATAATAATAAAGTGAAGTGTCAAGAAAATTAAATTCAGCAAAACGAAAACAAATGCAGTACACATCGTCATACTCGTTGCCTTTGCGTTCATGGGATCCAGGTTATTTTGAAACCCTATTCTCTGTGCCTAGACATGCAGGGATTGTGTGGTTTTCCCCTTTGTATGAATGACTGACAGTCCCTTTTTCTTCTCTCCCGTTCCAGCATGTAAGTAAGAAGATGGCTAAACCTAAGGCCAGTCCATTCCTACAACCGCTGTCAACTCTTGGCGAATTCACAGGCATTTTTAATCTTAAATTCTTAAATTAGCTGAACTTGAACAAAGCAAGCATTAGCAATTTCTATGTACAAAACTTTTTTTTGCACACAGAGGAGAGAATTCAGTTGCATCACTATTTCTAAAATTTTATCAGATATTTGCGAAAACGTGATCAATGACAATTTTGTTTTGCTGAAATTTCTTTCTGAGTTTATAAGTGAATTACTGAAATTCAAATTGAAGAAATTTCAATTTTTTTCTTGAAATTTTCAAGTTTATTTTTTGAATCGGAAATAATTTGTGGGATTTTTATAATGAATTTGTGATGAAAATGCCGGTGTGAGAGCTAGTGACGGTAGAGCTGTAAACCTCCCGAGTGTCCCTTACTGACGCCGGCCAGCGGAGCTCAACGGTGCTGAGGTCCGCCGCGGCCATCTTGGTAAACGAAATAAAAATTAAAGACTTATTTTTTAGTATAAAATTAAAGCTAGAGTATTTTCGGTTGTGGGTGCAAATCTAATTTAAAATTTGAGATGAATATTTTGTGTACAATCTTATCTAGAATATTGGCAGCTGTGGTGGGGTTGAATATAGTTCGAAAGTAGAGATTAATATTTATTATAAAATCGTAGATAGATTAGCGCTGTCAGGGTGTTGGCATCCCCAGCGTAGGTACATGTTTTCATAAGATAGTTCACAATAGCGAGCTGTATACCAATACTGGTATTTATTTTGTCAGAATTTTCTATGTAAATATTAATGAATAAAAGTAAGATCAAGAAGTACGATGCTTTTGCATTTTCGGGTTGTATGCTAGAAATAGCAATGAAAAATCTTTCAAGCTTAAAATTAAATTTTATTTTTAGACTAATCGTTCTCACTTATACGCTTTTCTTGTTCCAACACAAGACTCAATGGAGGGAATTTTTTTCTACTTCTAGCATTATTGACTTAGTTAAAAAGACTAAACTTAAAATTTAAATTAACATGTCTTAGGTTTTTACCATTGAACTGACAGACACCAAAAAAGCCTCGAATTGTCTAAAATGCTGCCATGGAGGTACGTAATAAATCGTGTATTTAAATACCGAGTATTTTCGGTTAACGTTTTATCCTGATAAGTTAATGTTCCTCATTGTAGCCACCATAGGAGCACGTCGTAAAGATAAGCATATTGTGAGTCATTCACGCCATTCATCATGCTGTCATTCATCAATTTATGGCATTACGATGGCGTAGGCTCGCATATCTTCCACTAAGGAAATATGCGTGGCTTTTTTCAAATAACGATGCAAAATGGCACGTCAGGGCTACGACTGCTCTCTGCTCAGGCTGTGTAAGAAAGTGTCAACATTCGGACAATATGAATTATAAATTTTTATGAGTGTATGTACACGAGAGAAAGTGTCAACATTTGGACAATATGAATTATAATTTTTATGAGTGTGTGTACACGAAAGAAAGTGTCAACATTTGGACAATATTAATTATTATTTTTATGAGTGTGTGTACACGTATGAAAGTGTCAACATTTGTACAATATGAATTATAGTTTTTTATGAGTGTGTGTACACGAAAGAAAGTGTCAACATTCGGACAATATGAATTATAATTTTTTTATGAGTGTGTGTACACGACAGAAAGTGTCAACATTTGGACAATATGAATTATAATTTTTTATGAGTGTGTGTACACGAAAGAAAGTGTCAACATTTGTGCACTATGAATTATAATTTTTTATGAGTGTGTGTACACGATAGAATGTGTCAACATTCAGACAATATGAATTATAATTTTTTATGAGTGTGTGTACACGAGAGAAAGTGTCAACATTTGGACAATATGAATTATAATTTTTTTGAGTGTGTGTACACGAAAGAAAGTGTCAACATTTGGACAATGTGAATTATAATTTTTATCAGTGTGTGTACACGAGAGATTGGCGGCATAAAAAACTACACTCACTGACAACGATTGATTTTTGTCCCAAAATAAACGGAAACTTTGTCAACGAATCAACGAACTGACAGCAATTTCAAACGCTCAAAAGAGATGAATGTCCTTCGTTGTTATAAAATGTTGTTGGTTATCTGTTACTGTATGAGTTTCGGTACTGCGCAAATTAAACTTTCCTGACATCACATACATCAGCAACATGATGACATCACAACTCAAGACGCGATATGATGTATTAATCTTTGAGAATTATAATGAATAATTATACAATATACGAATAATGATAGATAATGATCGTAGCCACTATTCTCAGGATTTGTTCGAAGACCATAGGGTGGCCAGACTAGAGATAAATAAAAATTTCGAATCCTAGCGATTTGAAGATCTCAAATAAAATTAATATGTGCAATTAAAGTGGGTATTGGTGCTTCTATGCAGTATGAACCTTGTATTACCTTTTAATTAAATAAAATACTTTAATAACACAAAAATAATAACTTCCCACTCACTAACGTCCCAATTTGTTGTAATGATGCTCGGAAAATTTCACCACTTCAAACTAATGTACGTTTAATATTATCCGTTCAATTTATTGCTTTCATACTAGTTTTTGTACATTTTCAGCAAACCTGTACTGCATTTGTTTCGTTAACAACGTTACATTTGTTTAGTTAAAAAGTTATTCTATGTACATAACACTGAATTAACTGAGGTACACTGCCACGTTTAAGTACAGTTGCGAACTACAGCTTTCACCTTGATTCGCTTGGCAAGATTTTTCCTCGAGCTTTCTAGGCCAAACTCGGGTGATGGAGAATACGACCTGAGCGAAATACACGTAAATGTCACGCTTGTATTTTTCTGTAGTCTTGCCACTGAATAATTTTTTGGGAGACATAAAAATAGATGCTTTGTGACCTATCGCCGTGAGCATAATTTTAATAAGGATTTGTTGTTCAATATATTTGAGTTTGCACAAACCTCAAGCGGCGTCTTATTTTTTGTTTATTTTTATTTTTTGGTTCGAGTTCCTGTACGTTCTGTTCTTAATTTTAAAAGATAAAACTTATGATGGTTCCCACCATGCATTTAACGTTGAAATCACGTGTAATACAATAAACGTTGTTTCAACATAATCAACAAGAATTCAACGTTTTTCCAATGTCATTTGCCGTGAGGTTTGTTTTGGTTTGTTTATTCGAAAGGAATTTTCACAGCTTTTTTTTAGTAATTGTGCTCGTTAGTTAAAGCCGTACTTAAAATTTAGTACTTGAAACAAATATTGTATGTACTACAAAGTAAGAGTAATACCAGTATTTTACAACAGAGCAGGAGCGCTCCCAGTGTTTGAGTACAGAGTACGTGTGCTTATAATGTTTGAATTCTGAATGCCTAAATAAAAATGTTTTATGTACAACAAACATGTTTGCCCTGGTTCAACTCATCATCGATTAGGGCGAGCTTTGATGTGACAGCTTGTCAGCCTGGGACTCAAAACTCTGGCACTATGCCTGCTGTGGTCTGTATGATGTCTGCTGCTGTGGTCTGTATGTTGTCTGCTGCTGTGGTCTGCATGATGTCTGCTGCTGTGGTCTGTATGGTGTCTGCTGATGTGGTCTGTATGATGTCTGCTGATGTGGTCTGTATGATGTCTGCTGCTGTGGTCTGTATGATGTCTGTTGCTGTGGTCTGTGTGGTGTCTGCTGCTGTGGTCTGTATGATGTCTGCTGCTGTGGTCTGTATGGTGTCTGCTGCTGTGGTCTGTATGGTGTCTGCTGCTGTGGTCTGTATAACTCAATTCGTGGTCCTGATTTTTTATTGCTGCATGCATTTTAACTTGTATAGAAATCGTGCACATTCAACTTGAGCAATATTTGTCATGGAGTATGTAATACTCCCGTTAAATGTTGTACTCGGTAATGAATTTTACTTAACTGTCGGCATATCATCGTCTTGATCTATTCTTATTGCGTCATTTTTCATCTTCCGCGCAAAACATGATCTTGGCGCGCGTCTGCGCGGGCTCGCAACTCTGCGCGTTACTCATGACAGTTCTGACAACGCTGATTAAGAGTTCTATACCAAAAAAGTTTGAGGTGATTAATCACCTTGATTTAATCAATTCTTGTAATAAATTTAAAATAACATGAGCTACGAAAACTGGCGATACAATTCATAACGGAACTCGCTCGTCTGTATTTATTGTGTATGAGTTGAAGTGGGTTGACTAATTTTATAAGTTTTGGTTTAAAAATAATATTACATGGATAAAACGTTCCATGTTCGAACCTCTGTTCAATTATTACATATAAACACAGGTTTTTCTGATGAATATTAAATACGTATTACTACATATTTTGTATTGAAGAAAATTTCCAACTATCTATGACTTGAATTTGATTTAGGTGAAGGTTAAGAACTTTCGAGCTTTGATAAGACAATTTTAACAGAGTAGAAAGATATAAATCTTACATTGACTTCGTAACATTTCAACATCGTCATCAGGAACAATTGAGTAACGTGAGGCGGGTAGCAAGTTATTATTTTTTTTTAAATCGGTACATTTTTTAAATTCAACTAGAGATTTCTGAATAATTAATAAAAAATTAGTTAATACTAATATTACCACAATTACCAAATTAATAGTAGTGGGGATGATTTCGTATTTGGTCAATCCTGGCAACCTAACAAAAGACTGAAAAATTCAAATCTGACATGATAAATGTATGAAAAATTAACATATTCTAGTAAATGTAAGTAGAGTCTCCTATCTATAAATTATGTCGAATTTAATTTTATAATAAATTTAATTTTAAGCTAGGCTTAGTATAAACACTTTTATGGCACGATAGGTAATTTTATTACCATGATATGTAATTTATTTAGTATTGGAAAACAGGAGACATGAAGGTCCCTGCTTCAGTTAACTGCGAGGTAAGAGATGAACCTTATTCCTTACTCTGTATTTTAATGCCTGGACAAAGGATGACTCAGGTATTTTTATTTTATTAGCCATTGTATAATAGGTGACTTGCATTTAATTGCCTAAGCATTTCCAAAATTTCGGATCCAAATATCTCGTCACTGTTGATTAATTCTTATTTAAAAAATTAATATTTTATTATGTGAAAAGGTTATAATTTTTATCGGTAGTTGAAAAAAATTATTAAAGGACCTCCTTGCTTGAAAGTTTCCTTTCGGTTTATGTGCAGTTTATTAGCCGAAAATTTTCATTGAACTATAGGGTGTCAAATACAGAACGTCAGAGTGATGAATTTGTTGATGATTTTGCCGAATCTGTACCTAGACTAAGTGTCAAAATGACGCTCTCTAATGGTGTGAGTTGTTAGTTGAAATATCAATATTAATTTGCTCTTCCTTTCTTTGAAATAAATGTTTGTTAAATCGAAAGGACCAAAAATTAGCTCGAATTAGTTGCACTTGGGAAATGTAATTTTTTTTAATTTCTTGATTTCCCGGCTAAAAGTTTATTAATATATAAATTATAAATGCGTGTTATCTTCTTTTTCGATCAAGATGCCCCGTGATTCTTTAAATATTATCTTTGACTTAAATTGAAATTGAGTCATGTATCACTATGTCATTTCACGCCAGAAAGCCACAAGTAGTTTCTAGAGCCGGTCTCACTTAACATCAGCGTGGCATTAATTTAATTAATAATTCATTTGATTTAAATAATAATAAATTGCAATTGTATGTTAATATTAAACCTCAGCTGTGCGTTGATGAGTCAGCTTGATCTACAGCGTTGTCTATTGTCCTCTTAATTCTAAGCTCATTTAACGAAAGAAAAATAACTGAAGCAACTTTAGGGCAGGTAAAAGTATCATATCAAATGCTATTTGTTACTTAAAGTAATTGTATACATTTGTGTAGCATTGAAATTGGTTATCAACGTTCAGCATTACATTACAGAACGAGCATCATTAATTTCTGGATCATCAAACACTTTCATTACAATATTTCTTGCTTAAAAAACGTATCTGAGATCAGAAAAATATTTTACAATTTACAACAGCTATTTTACTTCAATACATTAACTCAATTAGATCTCACCTTAGTCCTTAAACTCTCGTACATACCATTTCAAACCTCTTAGCCTTTTTTTACCTCAAACTCTCGCTACGTTGTTTTTTTCTATCCCCTGATTCACCATTATATATAATGAACGTAAATGTTATTAAAACAACAGGGACGGCGTAGAGCACTGCCAGCCGTGGAGTAGCAACACCACGCAGCAGATCGACCTCGCTTTCAATATCTTCTTCATGGTCTACTTCTTTATTCGCGTGAGCAGAACACCGATTCTTTTTCAGATTCATTCTTAGCTCGACTCTAGGTTTAAAAAATATGCTTTAGATATCATAAATAAAGTTTATCTGTATTTATATTTTATAGCTACATTAGCTCTACGGAAGGCTTAAAAACTTCAGGTATCATTGATGTGGGTTATCTGTATTTATTATTTATAGCTACAGTAGCTCTACTGAGAGCGTCAACACGATGTATCATCGCTACTACAATTAATGTTTTTAACGGCTTTATTCGTTACAGTTAGATAATTCTATTTTGGGACTTTAATTATTGATTATCTGTTAGGTTTGAATTTTACAGTGAACGGCGTGTATGAGTTTATATTTGATTATGGCTACATATATGATAATGGCTGCATTTAAACAATCTACTAATGTTTGGAAATGTGTTTCTGATTTCAGTTCATCGCGGCCAGCGACAAGTTTTGGTTCATGCTCGAGATGTATTCTTTTGTGGATTACTTCACGATACCTCCGTCCTTCGTCAGCATTTATCTCAACAGGACCTGGATCGGTGAGTTGTGAACTCGTTCTTTAAATTTAGTTTTAACCGTTAGCAATTATCTCGANGAATTAAAGTGCTTGTTTCTTTCAATAATATTTAAATCTAATTTTTTAAACTCTCTTCGACTATTTCGCTGCCAAAAGGAAATATTTTAAAACAGTTCAATAATTTCGGGCGGTAGATGTACCTGGTGTTTCTAGATTCATCTTGGTGTCTCAAGTCTCTGTCTCTTATACACATCTAGATGTGTATAAGAGACAGCTGCAAGACGGTCGTCGGACGAACCTTCCTCGTATTCTTCTTGCTCGTCGGCCTGGTGAGCGTAACCTGTACATTAGATCTTAGATATTCATGCGTTTCTAGCTGGGCCATACTTTCAAAACTCGCTAAGTTAACGTTAAGTACTTATGCTCTATTTTCTCAGTATTGTCTATGATTGGTGGATTTTACTTGAAAAGCCGTCAATGATTGGCTGATGAACTTACGATCTCTTAACTTTTTTGAAAGTATAGACCCTGGGGTGATACTTTCAAAACTCGCTAAGTGAACGTAAGTACTTATGCTCTATTTTCTTGTCTATGATTGGTGGATTTTACTTGAAAGGCCGTCAATGATTGGCTGATGAACTTACGATCTCTTAACTTTTTTTGAAGTATGGGCCCATTGATCTTAACCTTTAATTTTGATAAGTTGTTAGGAATTAGGCCAGAGCGGAACAGAAATGCAACTTGACAATCAGCATTTTCATGCTGCATTGAATTTCTTTAATAATTACCAGATTATGGGATAATATAATGGTTATTTGCTTGAATTGAAATCGATCTCAGTCGTGATTAGCTTGCTTTGCAGATGCCCACAGTACTCGAAGTCAATGTATTTTTTTACTTTATATACAACTGTTTCGTTGAAAACTTTAAATATCATGCAGGCAATTAATGGCCTATTTGAAGCGACAAAACCTTGCTCAATATCACCACATTTTACGTAGGCTATCTTTATTTTTTACATTCGTGCATCACTCTGGCTCCTCTATTTTGTAATCTAGAAAAGCCAATTGATTTCTCGTAATGTCACCATTCAGATATCTCATAGATACTAATACACCTTTATTAATTCCTTTCTTACGAGAAATAAGTCCTCATCCATTCAGTAGATTTTTTTCTAGCTTAATGTATCTCAGAAACCTACCGAAGTGCGGTCTATTCAGTTCCGGTGAATATTAAGTTACATAGCAAACTCAATGTTGGTTAACTCTTATCATCGCATCCATAGAAACAATAATATTTATCATCAACCTGGCAAAGCGATCCATTAAATCCTCTGCACATTATTTCATTCTTATTTCATCCGAGCCTTCAAATTCATGTAATTTTATATGAATGATATTTTCAACATTTTAATCTGTTTTAATGCTGGTTTCTTAGTAACCGTTTTGTTAATGAGAATTTGTTGCTATGATTTTATATAGGATATTTGTACTTATTTTGTTATGCTAGGAAGTGTTCCTTTGTTATGTATCTATGAAATGTTTAATAAGTTTTTAACAACTTATAATTCGTTTACTTTTTGTACGTGTTTACAAGATAAAACAGCAATTCATCCCTTAGAAAATTATTCGCTCTCTTGACCTCATTCGATTAAATAACAATAAATAACATTGACAGAGCTCAAAAATTTAGGATAGGGTACATACAGCGTCTTAAATTTCACAAATTGAAGTCGAAACTTACGACACACAATCACATATAGCGCACTCTTTTACAATCAACCAAATACATTTACGAGCAAACCGCTGCGGGCCAAAATTTTATCAAATAGATATACAGTTGAAAAATTACTTTTTAGGTACAAGGTTTAATTCGACTAAAATGAAGGTAATTGAGAATATTTCGAACAATGACTTGAAGTTGAGCATAGTTGGTCAGTCGACATTTTCTCTCACTCACGTTCCAGTTATAATACTATTATTATAACGGCTGATCGTTGAAGAACGTGAAAAAACTTGTAGGCAACGCATGTATTACTACTAAAAAATATGATGAAAGATTAACCAAATTATTTCAATCACAATTATAGGAAAACGCTTTCATAAAAAATCATATTGATTGAATCCTCAAATTTACTTCAGGGGCTCCGAACTTTCTTTTATATTATTTCTTTTCGCTAATCGGCTTAGTTGGAATCCATACTAGCTTAGTAACGTGCTTTTAGAAAAATATTAGTTAAAAAATTAACCTGAAATCATATTTAAAATTTATTATTAATATAATCTTTAATAATCACGCATAATCATTACCCACTTAAAGAAACAAAGTTTGGCATCTCTTAGCAAAGAAGCCAGTTTGATATGAAAATTTATTTTGAATACAAAATTAAATTTTAAGAAGTCTTTTCATCACAATAATATTTCTACAGATTTCTTCTGTGTTTCTGAAATAATTTAATGCAGTATCATACAAAATCTCACATTTTAACGGAAATTGACAGAAATATCTTTTTTATCACTAGTGACTAGTGACTAGCACAGACTCTTCGATTTTCACAACATAAAATATTGCAACCAATGTAACTGGTTGAAGTGAAAAAGTTAGTCTATACGCAGGATAACTATTTTGCATCACTGATCATAACTACTTAAATGTTGGAAACATTGAATATTATACGCACAAATAAATTCAAAGAAACTTTCACCCAAATGTATTGCACCTATGTGGATTGTCTATTTGAACCATGGACGTATATAAATTAATTTATTGGTGTAATTCTGCAGAAGCCTTTCATTTATGCAAGTTTGATTAAAGACCAGAGCATGCTTTTTATTAACAATCTTCTTATTCGTTTTTTCAATGAGTCGAACAAAATTTCTTGCTGGCGCTGGGAGAATAAAAAGCAGGTTTCCAATTGACATTTTAATGGATTGCGATGTTTCGAATATACAATATTCATTAGCAAGTAGTTGAAAGGTTTTGCAACACTTGAAATTGAACTTATGGAAATGACATTAGTACAAGTAACGGCTATTGTGGATACAATTTATTTGTGGATGATCTCCCAGCGCCAGCAAAAATTTTGTTCGACTCATTGAAAAAGCAAATAAAAAGATTATTACTAATAAGCATGCTCTGGTCTTCAATCAAGCTTGCATAAAATTTGTTTATGCAAATAAAACATTCATGAAATATAAATAAATTATTTGCTTGTGTGAACATCTCAGATGATATTTTATAGTTGCCAGATTTCTCCGCCAAAAAAATAATTTAATATCCAATTCAAGAATCCCTTACAATAAACGTGGTAACATGGCTCCTCCTTCCCAGCAGTCAACCCAATAGTCTTGAATGTAATTAACCGTTCTAACCTCACCCCTTACACTTCCAATAATTTTCAACTAGTGGGTTCAGTGCATGAAATTACATTCATTAAATTAAATTCATCCATTTAATCGAATGAGAGACGCTAGTTTGGAACCAATGACTGTTGTACGAATTCCTACTTAAAAATCAATTAATTTTCAGGCTGTCACTTTTTGTAAGGTTCACATTTTTCAACTATGAAAGTTATCATTAACTGATAAAAAGTTTACATAATTCAACTTTGATTTGAATATGCACTGACATACTGATTGTGAACGAAAAATTAATTAATTCAAAATAGTAATTGTAACGTAACTGCCCATTTGTGTGGCCCCTTATGATCCTATCCAACACAATACTAATGTCACATCACTTCTTTCTTTGTTGTATGATAACAATAATACTCCTCGTGTAACTCATGCGAATGCTATCCCTGAGTAGGAAATGTAACGTGTGCACTGTGGTACACCACCCACCCATCAAACTTCCGTGTTATTCCCACGTGTTACACGCAACCACTACCATTTCCACCGTTTATATATATTAATATAAATGAAAATCAAACTCCTTTGTGCCGCATGTTGTCCAATACCTCCTCACATCGCGAAAGCTCCACGCAAACCTTCAAGAAACTGCAAAGTTTTGTGCAAAGTTGATTGGCAAATCAGCGTCTAACAACCAAATAAGGACTTCGAAAATTTAACGTATCATTTAAGTGCGACACACTCTCCCTCATACGGATGAAAAGAAATAAGAACTTTGCTGTGTCACCACTGAATATGGATTCTAAACTTTGCCTGCATAGGTTTTCTGGATGCTAATTCTGATTCCAAACAACGCTGCACACATTCTTTGCGCAGGACGTTCAGTTTTTATAACTTTGCAAAACTTCACAAACTAGTTCCTAGCCATTGAAAAGTTGAATTGTTTATAGTCTTGTTATTATAGCATGACGTACCGTTAGTTTCGTCCAATGTACAACAATAGATGTCCTTACTGTAAGGTATAGATGAGGTCAGCATGCATTGTACACTTAGCTAGCACTTTGGCATGTACTAACATATGACGTAGTGTGAAAATCACACAGTGTGACCGAGCACCTTCGTTTGCAGTTTGCTTGTGATTACAAAGTACAAAAATACTCTGTACTTGAAAATAATTTCTTTATTTGCCCCAAGCTCTTGCTTCTGGGATAAAAATAATTGTCCAAGCAGAACAAGAATTCTAATTCAGGCGCTTATAAGAAGTGCGTTCAACCTCGTCTTATTAGAAACTTCAAAGTAAAAAAGAATTTAAAAAGTACTGAATGTGTTTATTAACAGAGTGTTATGTGCATTAATTAGATGTTGTTTTATTACAGTACCTATAACTTTGCCTAGAGTATCCTAGACAATATATTTGACTTTCGTCTTTTGCGTGTTTCCACTTGGATTATGAGAAGTCCAATCTTCTTATGGTAATGTTTATATAGATGAGACCCTCATTTAGGCTATCAAAGGCCGTCTTGCATAAAAATACGTAGTCATGAGTGTTGCCATTTCAACTATTAAAAACTTGATCCTTTATTGATAATATTTCGATGTAACGACAGTCTTGCCGCCCCTTATTCCCGTGATGTAATTCGTCGAGTGGGTATTCAAGAAGCCGGTCCTTGGGGTCAAGATACGGCCAATAAGCTATTTAAAAGACTTATATTTTAATATTCCTTATTGCAGCTTAAAAATAAACTAATGTACGCAGCGATGTCGCAATACAAATCAATATATATATATATAATTATGAAGATTCAAATTAAAAAGATTTATTAGATGCAGTTACGAAAAATAAGGAATTTGACAGTGTTAACCTTTTCGTTAAGAAACTGAAAAATACTTATCTACATCTTCAGTTAGAATTTTCTTTAACTGTATTAACCAAAATATTTGCTTATAATTTCTCCAGTTCTATACCTCCCGGAGGGGAA